GAATTGCTATCCTGCCTGGTGCCAGCAGAGACCCTCTCCATTCTACAAGGATTGATGCTGGCCCACTGGGGACAGAGGTCACCTACAGTTGAGCCTTTGAGCCACAGGGGAGGGCTGGACACCTCGACCTTCAACCTCTACTCAGGCTTGGACCAAAATGGTCAAACTTTGAGCCTCTCGGTGTGCAGGTCTGAAGGTCATTACCCCCTTTCATTAAGGCTTGCAATCAATATGCCAGTGGGGGAGCCATGTGCAAACTGCTTCTTCTACATTCTATTTGTTCAATTACTATGTATTGAAACCTTCTGGGTGCCTGGCACACTTCTCCTTCTTAGCAAAGGGATCCAACAGTGAAAGAAACAAAGATCTCTGTTGTCTAGGAGCTGATGTTCTCATGGAGGAGACAGGCAAGAGGCAGGCAGGACAAATAAGAACATGATGTCATCTGTTAGGATGTGGTGAAAGTTCAGGAAACAATGACATGAGGAAGGTAGATTAGATATGTGGAGTAGGAACAGAACCATGATTTTTAGACCTAGTGTCACCTGAGAAGGTGACATATGAGTAAAGACTGGAAGGAGGTGAGGGCTTCCCAGATGGAGCAGTGGGTAGAGAATCAGCCTGCAAGGCGGGAGATGCAGGTTTGACTCCTGGATTGGGAAGATCCCCTGATGACGCTGTATGATTGATGAGTTCCTTCTTTCCGTCCTCAGCCCCCACAATGTTCCCCCTGCCCCCCACTAGGAGGGAGCCTAGAACAACCAGCGCGCTGGAAACCACAGAGGGAAGAGGAAGCCAGTGGGAAGAAGTAGGGACAGGTCTCGCAGGGCCTTGTGGGCTCCAGTGGGGACTTTGGCTTTTGCCCTGCGTGAAAAAGGAGGCATAGAGGGTTCTGAACAGACGAGGGACGTGATCTGAGTCAGGTATTTACAGGCTCTCTCTGTGGTGCGGAGCGGGAAGACACTGTGGGGGCTGAGGATGGAAAGAAAGAGAACTCATCAACCACACAGCTAGTCAGGGGAGAGGTTGTGGGTGTCCCACCTACCAATAAGGAGACTGAACTCTGAAAGTGCTAACCACATGCCCAGGGACACCGACCAGTTAGCAGCGGCCCCTGGATTCCAACTTGTGTCTATATGATTTCAGGATCATTGGGTAGATAATCATTCACTGGGTACCTTATTTGCCCATGACTTCAGGGGGGATACAGATCCTGAGACCCAAGAGACAGAGAGGATTCTGCTTTTGGTAATACACCTGCATCAGGGCTTCCCTGTCACTCAGACAGTAAAGACTCTGCCTGCAATGTGGGAGACCTGGGTTCGATCCCTGGGTTGGGAAGATCCCCTGGAGGAGGGCACAGCAAGCCACTTCAGTATTCTTGCCTGGAGAATCCCCATGGACAGAGGGGCCTGGTGGGCTATAGTCCACGGGGTCACAAAGAGTCGGGCACGACTGAGTGACTGAGGACTGCATTAGGATGATGAATGAAGAGATTCACTGAAGAGGGGGAAGGATAGTTAGGGAGTCTTGGATGGACATGTACACACTGTTATATTTAAAATGGAAAACCAGACTTCCTGGTGGCACAGTGGATAAGAATCCACCTGCCAATGCAGGCGACATGGGTTCGATCCCTGGTTCGGGTAGATTCCACACGCCATGGAGCATCTAAGCCTGTGTACCTCAACTACTGAGGCCGCACTCTAGAGCCCACATGCTGCAATTGCTGAAGAGCCCATGCTCCACTGCTATGAGAGCCCCACACACCACAAACAGAGGGCAGTCCCCAGTCTCACAGCTAGAGAAAGCCTGTGTTCAGCAACGAAGACCCAGCCCAGGCAAAACTAAAATAAATAAGTAAAAACTAAAATGGATAATCAACAAGGATCTACCGTATAGCACAGGGAACTCTGTTCAATGTTATGCAGCAGCTTGGGTGGAAGGGGAGCTAGGAGGAGAATGGATACTTGTATATGTGTAGCTGAGTCCCTTTGCTGTCCACCTGAAACTTATCACAACATTGTTAATCAGCTCTACTTGAATATAAAATAAAAAATTTTAACAAAGAAACATGTATCGAATCCCTACTGTGTTATAGGCACTATACTGGCTGCAGGGGCCAGACAGAGCGAAATTTCTGCCAAGGAGACAAAATGTCTCCTCTAATGGGAAAGACAGACAAGAGACATTTAAAAAAATCCAGGAAATTATACAAGATATTAGAAGATAAATACTGATGGAAAAAAAATAGGGCAGGATAAGGGCTTCCCTGGCAGCTCAGACAGTTAAGAATCTGCCTGCAATGCAGGAGACCCTGGGTTGGGAAGATGCTCTGGAGGAGGGCATGGCAACCCATTCCATTAGTCTTGCCTGGAGAATCCCATGGACAGAGGAGCCTGGTGGGCTACAGTCCAAGGGGTCACAAAGAGTCCGACATCACTGAGCGACTAATAAAAAACAAAAAACAAAACCTGCTATTGTTCACAATTGCTAATTCGCGTCTAACTGGGACCCCATGGACTGAAGCATGCCAGGCTCCCCTGCCCTTCACTATCTGCTGGAGTTTGCTCAAATTCATAACCATTGAGTCGGCCCACGTCAAAAAAAAAAAAAAAGTAAAAGCCTTTAAAAAGAAAGAAAAGTATGATCCAGGCTGAAGGAACAACAATGCAAAGGCCCTGAGGTGGGGTCAACAGAAATGAATGAGTCAATAAACAAAGCCTGTGGCCATTAGGAAGGTCCAGCCATTCCCCGCCTAACCCTCACCCCTCACCCCCCCCCCCCCCCCGCCACCCCACCCCACCTGACTTCTGCCCTTTGCAACTGCTATTTCCTCAGCCTGGATCACATTTTCTCCTTTGGACAAACTCCTGATGGAACTTTAAGCCTTAGCTCTCAGGTTACAGCTTCAGAGAAGTCGCCTGTGAGACTCCTGCCCCCACAGGTTAGGTGTTCCTCCCCTGGACTCTCAGAAACTCTATAGACCTCTCTCCCCCATTCCGATCCCTCAACCTTCTGCACTGAGCTGTATTTCAAGGGTGTCTGTTGGATTTACTCCAGCGGTACACAGTAGGTGCCCACTAAATCATTAAGCAACAAAGTGCCGTTCCATCCTTCACCACATAAAATCTAAATTCTCTTGCCCAGGACAGACTTGGAAAAGCTGCCTGTGAAATAATAAACTGGTTCTCGGAGAAGAGACACAGCTGGTTGTGGCGGAGGATTCTGGGAAGGGAAACGGGTGTGGGTCGGGGCCCGGCAGGGAACCGAAGTTGGAGGAGACAGATTTTTCATTCACTCTAGTTTTCTTTTTGCCGTTTTTGAAATTTTCTTTACTAGGTGTGTGAATTATGCAAACATAAAGTGAATAAACAAGACTGTACAAAATAAAGGATTTAAAAGACCTTTTGAAATTGCAAAGTGTGTGAAGTTTAAAACACATTCACAGTTCTTACAAGAGTAGAGTACACAATGAAATATAACATTGTAAATTTTCATTAATACTTCACAAAAATATCCATATGTCATATATCAGATGAAAATTAAAAAAGGAAAAGAAACAATGTCTTACATCTTTGGCACAGCATTCTGGTCCGCCAGTGCCCACCCCTTTCCCTGCCTTGATTCTTGTGTTGATTTGATGACAAAAGTCACCTTCAATTAATAATAATAATAATGCTCTGCATGTTTCACACATGACATGCTTTGCCTCAATCATTTCATCGAATCTTACAACCTCCCCATCTTCCAGATGAGTACACTGAATTTGTCTCAGAGAACACGTTCTCAGCCACTGAACTCGGTTCAAATCGCGCTGGCAGCCAAATGCTCGGGTCTAGCCCGGCAAGAAAGGCTGCTAATGTGTTCGTGGCGCCGCCTGGAGGCCCGACGGGGAACGTGGCAAAGAACCTAGAAAAGGAACATTTGGGGCTTCTCCGGTGGCTCAGTAGTGGTAAAGAATCGGCCTGGCGATGCAGGAAACACGAGTTCAATACCTGGTAGCGAAGGATCCCACATGCCCCGGAGCAACTAAGCCTGTGGGCCAAAACTATTGAGCCTGTGTTCTAGACCCCAGAGGCCGCAAATACTGAGTCCACGTACCCAACTACTGAAGCCCACTCGCCTAGAGCTCCGTGCTCGGCAAAAAACCACTGCATTTAGAAGCCCATGCCCCAAAACTAGAGAAAAGCTCGTGCACCAAGGAAGAACTAGCCTAAATAAACAAATAAATGAATAAAATTATTTTTTAAAATGAACATTTGGATTTCTATTGTGAGGGGGGACGAGAGAGAAAGCTAGGATTTGCGGAGTTCCCACTGTGCTCTCCGAGAACTCGGGCTGAATGAGACGCGACATCTTGGCCAAGGAGATGAGGGAGACACATCCCTAACCTGAGGCATTGAACGGGGACATACCCTGGGGATCTATCCGCCAGGTCCTATCCGGAGGGCTTTCTGCGGGAGACAAAGCCCTGCATTTAAACAAACAAAAATCCATGTTCCTGTAGAAACCGCAGCTTAGAGTCTTCGGGGACCCCAATGGGGCGGGACCTAGAGGGCGTGGCCGACATAAAAGCGTAACAACTATTGGCCCTTTTCCCTTTAGTGCCCGCCCTAGAACTTTTTATTTCATACTTAACAGTTCATTGGCTGAATGAGGAGCGTGTCCTTTGAGTAGGGAGGTTTCATTGGCTGGATTCCCTCAGGCTCTTTGGGGGCGGGACCGAAGGAGGGGCGGGGTCTCTCACTGTGGGCTTGCACTCCCGGGGTTGCCGAGAGTTCTTAGGCTTGCAGAGAAAATTGGGATTTGGGGGTTAGTCTTAGGGCGGAGGTAGGGGCACGCTGAGGCGATCCCCGCGGTCCTCGATCTTGCATACCCCGCTTTCCTACGCCGAAAACAAGCCCAGCAGGCGGTGTCGCGGGAGTGACGTCATCTCGAGGCGTCTCGAGACTCCAGAGGAAGCCTTGACCTCTGTAAGCGTGGAGAGCTACGCGAAGATGCTGCAGCTAGTCCGGGCGGGGGCCCGGGCCTGGCTTCGGCCCAGGGGCTGCCGGGTGAGGCCGGGGACGGAGGGCAGAGTCGGAGGATAAAAGTTGGAGGGCCCGGGGGTTGCTCTCTCATTCCCGCCCACCGTTTACAGGGCCTGAACGCGCTGGCAGAAGAGGCAGTGCAGCCGGCAGAGAAACCAGAACCCTTGGCGAACGCAGGTGAGGTTGCTGGTCACCCCAGGAAGGGTGGCGACTGGGAACTCTGACCCTTACTCCTGACTTCCCAATCATTCCAGGTCCCCAGGCACCCGTGCTGCGCAGGTGCGAGCTCCCGGTACCCCTGCACCGGCGTCCCGTGCAGGCCTGGGTTGAATCTCTGCGGGGCTATGAGCAGGAGCGCGTGGGTCTGACCGAGCTGCACCCAGACGTTTTCTCCACGGCGCCCAGGTTAGTGGGAGCTGAAATGGTGAACTGGGTGGCCGAGGGACGAGGATCGGGGGTTTAGGAATCAGGATGACCTGGATTCGAGCCTCATTTTCTCCAGCTGTCAAAAGGGAATGATGGTTTTTCTTCAGAGTTGTGTGAAGGTGAGGGTTGAGAGGTAACGTTCTTTTAGGTTAAGGGCACAGGACTCTGTATCCCAAGTGACTGGATTGGAATCCTTCCTTCCCCCTGTGCTTCAATGTCTCCATTCTGCCAAATCTTAAGAAATTAAATGAGATAATTCTGGCCCATAATATGGTCTATAGAAATGTTGATTATTGTTGCTGTTATTGGTTTTTGCAAAAATGGGCACTAACAGTGGTTAAGTCCTTACTGTGTGTCTGGCACAGCCTGTTTGCATTTTGATTTTATTTTCAATTTTTTTTGGCCATGTGGCTTGTGGGCTCTTAGTTCACTGACCAGGGAGTGAGCCCAGGCCCTCCATAGTGAAAGTGCAAAGTCCTAACCATTGGGCTACCAGGGAATTCCTTTTTATTATTATTGTTTTTCTTTTTATTATTTTTTTATTCTTATTTTGTAGCTAAAGAAACAGCGCAGTCAAGTTAAGAAATCTGCCTATGGTCACATAGCTTGTAAACTATATACTCAACAGTATATGGGCCAACTCCCAGGACTAAGTTTTCACTTGCAAAGGAGTTTGATGTCTCATGTCTACTGTGTCTGGCAGATAATAACTGCTGTTGATTTATTACTATAATGTTTGTATGGTTTGTCCCCGGTTTTTACAGAATCCCAATCTGCTAAGGGGCGACCAAAGAAAAAAAAAATTTAAAAACAATGTATTTTGGGACTTCCCTGGTGGTTAAGACTCTGAGCTCCCACTGCAGGGGGCATGGTTTCCATCACTGGTTGGGGAAATAAGATCCCATATGCTGTGAGGTCAAAAAAAAAGAGAAAGTATTTTATTTATTCTGTAAATACTTAGGAAGTGCTTACCAGGTGTCAGGGTGTCAGGAATATAGCAGTGAATGAGCACTGACGTTGCTGATGTTGCTCCCAGTCTAGAGCTGGGACAGCAAACTTGTGTAAAGAGCCAGGGAGTAAATATTATAGGCTTTGAAGGCTGTAATGTCTCCATGGTAACTACTCATCTTTGCTGATGCAGTACAAAAGCAGCCGTACACAATGAGTAAGTGGATGAGCGTGGCTGTGTTCTAGTCAAGCATATTTACAAAAACAGGCAGCAGGCCAGACTTGGCCTTTCTAATCATAAAATACATCATTTGAAATGCCAGGCTGGATGAAGGACAAGCTGGAATCAAGATTGCCGGGAGAAATATCAATAACCTCAGATATGCAGATGACACTACCCTTATGGCAGAAAGCAAAGAATAACTAAAGAGCCTCCTGATGAAAGTGAAAGAGGAGAGTGAAAAAGTTGGCTTAAAACCCAACATTCAGAAAACTAAGATCATGGCATCCAGTCCCATCACTTCATGGTAAATAGATGGGGAAACAGTGAGAGACTTTATTTTGGGGGGCTCCAAAATCACTGCAGATGGTGACTGCAGCCATGAAATGAAAAGATGCTAGCTTCTTAGAAGAAAAGCTATGACCAACCTAGACAGCATGTTAAAAGTACAGACATTACTTTACCAACAAAGGTCCATCTAGTCAGAGCTATGGTTTTTCCAGTAGTCATGTACGGATGTGAGAGTTGGACTATAAAGAAAGCTGAGCACCGAAGAATTGCTGCTTTGGAATTGTGGTGTTGGGGAAGACTCTTGAGAGTCCCTTGGACTGCAAGGAGATCCAACCAGTCTATCCTAAAGGAAATCAGTCCTGAATATTCATTGGAAGGACTGATGCTGAAGCTGAAACTCCAATACTCTGGCCACCTGCGGGGAAGAACTGACTCATTTGAAAAGACCCTGATGCTGGGAAAGATTGAAGGCAGGAGAAGAGGATGACAGAGGATGAGATGGTTGGATGGCATCACTGATGCAAGGGACAAGAGTTTGAGTAGGCTCTAGGAGTTGGTGATGGACAGGAAGGCCTGGCGTGCTGTAGTCCATGGGGTTGCAAAGAGACTGAGCAACTGAACTGAACCAAACCATAGTTTGCCAACCTCTGGCACACCAGCCTGGCACCCCTGTCCAATGCGAGCCCCAGGTGTAATTTCAGTTCTTCCAGTAGCCACATTTTCTTTCAAATGGCAAGAGACAAGTAAGATTGATTTCAGTAATATATTTCATTTGGCCTGATAAGTCTAAAATGTTGGGACTTCCCTGGTGGTCCAGTGGCTAAGACTCTGTACTCCCAGTGCAGGGGGCCCAGGTTGGATCCCTGGGCAGGGAACTAGATCCTTTATGCCACAACTCAGAGTTCACATGCCAAAACTAAAGATCCCACATGCCACAACTAAGACCTGATGCAGCCAATTAAATACATTTTTAAAATTTGATTTGTTTATTTTTGGCTGCTCTGGGTCTTCAGTGCCACGTGGACTTTTCTCTAGTTGTGGCGAGCAGGGGCTTCTCATTGCAGTGGCTTCTCTTGTTGCAGAGCATGGGCTCTAGGGCACCCAGGCTTCTGTACTTGTGGGCCCTGGGCTCTAGAGCACAGGCTCAGTAGTTGTGGCTCACGAGCTTAGTTGCTCCTAGGCATGTGGGATCTTCCCATCTTAGGGATCGAACATACGTTGGCCAGCAGATTCTTTACCACTGAACCATCAGGGAAACCCAAAATAAATATTTTTTTAAAAATATGACATACTGTTGTGTGACCCTGGCCACCTTTTAGGGCTTCAGTAGCTGCACATATGGCCTTCCACTGTACAGGACAGCACAGGGTTAGAGAGGCAAGCTAGTCTGTAAAGAAGTGACAGGACGGACATGGAGCGGGGCAGGAGGAGGTGCAAGATGGGCCCAGAGAGGGACTGGAGCGGACCACACAGGGCCCTGGAAGTGGATGGGGGGAGCCTGGGTTTCCATCTCATGGAGCGGGAAGGGTTTTAAGTGCACGCAGCCCTCTTATATCTCCTTCCTTCGCAGGCTGGATATCCTGCACCAGGTTGCCATCTGGCAGAAGAACTTCAAGAGAATTGTGAGTGCCCCGGGCAGGGCAGGCGGGGTGAGGCGGAGGCAGAGGAAGGCCCTGCTGTGTCTTCTCTGGATGGCTGGCTCAGGCCCCATTTTCTCTCTCCTGAACCATTCCCCAATGGGCCATTTTCTTTTTTCTTAAATGTGAGCACTGAGAATTTTTTTTAAAGATTTATTTTTATGTATTACTGATTATACTCATACCTTTATTTATTTGTTGGGCTGCTGTGGGTCTTTCCTGTGGCATGTGGGATCCAGTTCCCTGCCCAAGGATGGAACCCAGGCCCCCTGCACGGGAAGCATGGAGGCTTGGCCACTGGACCTCCAGGGGAGTCCTGTAACCTGCTATCATCTTGATCTTGGATCTCTGGCTTCCAGAAGTGTGAGACAGTACGGTTCTATTGTCGAAGCCCTAGTCTGTGCCTGCGTGCTCAATTGTGTCCACTTCTTTGCGACCCCATGGACTGTAGCCCCTCACCCAGGCTCCTAAGGATTCTTAGCCACTAGACCACCAGGGAATTCCCGCTAGGCATTTTCTGAACACCCACTGTGTACTGGCCGTTGTGCTAGGGGACACAACAGGCAAGGTCCCTGCCCTCATGAAGCTCCCAGTCTAGTCAGAATAGGAGAATGGGAGTCAAACAGTCTTGCCTGTAAATGCATCATTAGGGAAGTTGTCTCAAAAGAAAGGGGCATTTAACCTCAGCTGTGTGATAGGTAGGAGCTTAGTCGGTAGAGGGGGCAGTGGGGCTGGTGTGGAGGGAGAGGGAGCCACATGGGCAAAGGCCTGTGGGATCAGAGGGAGCCCAGGGTGGCCCTGGAGGTCAGCCGGGGCAACATGGGGTGTTTGGATTTTGTGCCAAGAGCATAGAAGATGCTGTTCTCAGTCAGAGTCCCTGCCTTTCACGTGCCCACCTCGAGTCTTGTGAGCCCTGCCTGGCTCCCCATGGCCCTGGGAATGAAATCATCAGCCTGGCATTGGAAGCCTCACAGGATCCCCCATCCCACACCTCTCCCTGATTCTAACCCCCACATCTTTCCCCATATCCCACCTTCATTTCATTTTTAAAATTTTATTTTATTCTTATTTTTTTGGCTACATTGCTTGTGGGATCTTAGTTTCCAAACCAGGGATTGAACCCAGGCCCCCTGCACAGAGTCCTAATCACTGGACTGCCAGGAAATTCCCCTACCTTCCTTTTTTTAAAAAATTAGGTTGTTTTCTTCTTTCTTTGTTAAAAAAAAAACCAAACATATATTCATTTATTTATTTTATTTTTGGCTGTGCTGGGTCTTCATTGTTGCACGCCGGCTTTCGCTAGTTTCTGCGAACAGGGGCTAATCTTTGTTGTGGTGTACCAGCTTCTCATTGCTGGTGGCTTCACTTCTTTCTGAGCATGGACTCTAGCAGGGGGTGGGCTTCAGTTGTTGTGGCGCACAAGCTTAGTTGTCCCAAGGCATGTGGGATCTTCTGGGAGCATGAATTGAACCAGTGTCCCTTGCATTGCAAGATGGATTCTTATCCACTGGCCCACCAGGGAAGCCCTTACCTTCCTTTTATTACAACCACATGGAAATCATTCAAAAAATACGAAGCACCTACTGTGTGCCAGGCAGCAGCGCCCCTGCCCTTCTGGGGCCGACGTTCTGGAGTGGAGGAGGGCGCTCTTGACTTCTTTATCCCTCCCCCGCTCCCAGAACACTCTGTGCTTGTCCTGATGGAGCCCCAGTCTCTGCCTCCTCTCCAGCCCCCCAGCAGCAGGCCGGTCCTCCCAGCTCACAGCCCTGTCCGTGGGCCTGGTGCCTTTCGGCTGCGATGGCCTCTGCCTTGTGAACCTGACTCTCTCCTCACTCTGTGCCCACAGAGCTACGCCAAGACCAAGACCAGGGCCGAGGTGCGGGGAGGTGGCCGGAAGCCCTGGCAGCAAAAAGGCAGTGGGCGTGCCAGACACGGCAGCATCCGCTCCCCAATCTGGCGAGGAGGTGAGCAGGTCTGCCCACACGTGTGCGGTCAGAGGTTGGCGAGACTGTGCACTTCCCTGCAAGTCCCCGCAGCTCTGGCCTCAATCTCTCATCAGGCCGTGGCCACAGCCCCTTTCTACCCCACCTCCCAGCTCACCTTTCCTGGGCCACACTTCACACAGCACCCAGAGGGATCTTCCCAAGCCCCCTAGCTCCGTGTGAAGTCTGAGCCCCTCATCTTGGCCTTCCAGGCCCTGGTGACTGCAGTGCCCCTCTACCCCCTGCCCCTTCCACGGCTTCCTGACCAAATAGAGCTGACTCAGTCATCTTCCTTTTGCCTGGCCAATTTCTCTCAACCTCACCTGGGTTGGGAAGAGCCCCTGGAGAAGGGAACGACTACCCACTCCAGTATCCTGGCCTGGAGGTTTCCATGGACTGTGGAGTTGCAGAGTAGGACACGACTGAGCAACTTTCACTTTCCCTTGTGTTTCGGCCATGCCTCCTCCAGGAAGCCCTCCATGATCCTCTGGGGGTCCCCCCCAACCCCTGAATCCCCTTGTGCTGCCCCACACAGCCCTGATTTCCCTCTGCGATCAAGCTTCTGTCTGAATATGAAGGAGGCAGGGATCCTATCAGGTCCCCTGCTGCATCCCAGGGCCCAGCAGGGGGAGCACTCGAGTAGAACTGTCCTCACTCAGGGATTGATAGCTGAGGACAGCAGGCCCCTCTGAGGTGAAGTTACCTGTCCCAGGTGGCGCCTGATCATCCTCCCCTCCCCATCCCTCCCTGACACCCCCACCCTCTTTGCTGCACTTCAGCCTGGCTGCCAGCAGCCTCCCTCCCCCCACCTCTGGGCCCACCACTGGGGCAGATTTCTGACCTCTGAGCCCAGCTAGGGCCTTCACCCATTCACACATCCCTCTGCCCCTGCAGGAGGTGTCGCCCATGGCCCCAGGGGCCCCACGAGCTACTACTACATGCTGCCCATGAAAGTGCGGGTGCAAGGGCTCAAGGTGGCACTGACCGTCAAGCTGGCCCAGGTAACAGCACCGATCCTGCCGGGAGCCACTGTGTCCTGGGATCTGGCCTGTGGGGGTGGGGGGAGCCTGAGTAGCTGCAGGGGGGCCTAAGTGGCTCCCAGTGGGGGCAGTAGGAGACTCAGCCCGTCCTTTCCTCCCACCAGGACGACCTGCACGTCGTGGATTCCCTGGAGTTGCCCACCGCAGACCCCCAGTACCTGATGGAGCTGGCCCGCTACCGCCACTGGGGCGACTCTGTCCTTTTTGTAGACTTGTGAGGGGGCTGCGCTAGGCAGGGGCGGGGGGGTGGCGGGCTCCGTCCTTGGTAGGGCTCACCTCCTGGCCTCTATTTCAGAGAACACGATGACATGCCCCAGAATGTCGTAGCAGCAACATCCGGGCTCAAGACCTTCAACCTGGTCCCAGCTGTCGGTGAGCAAAGGGCCTTGGGCCAGTTCACATCCTGTATCTATAACTCAGTCACCAAGTGGCCCTGGGCAGTGACAGCCCCCCTCAACCCCCCAGCTGGCCCAGCCCTAGGAGAATGATGTCTTTCTTAAAGAAATGCTCTGAGGTCGCGTCAGTCCAAGCTTGGGTTTCAGTGCCGGGGTGGAGTGAGTCTGAGGGCCCCCTGGCTGCTCCCACCTGGCTTCTCACTCGGACACACAGGATCAGAGCTGCCCTGAGCAGGTCGCCCCATCCATCGAGGGGCTGACTAGTCCCCAGAGCCCTCTCTTGGCCTCCTGATTGCGGGCCCAGCTGCCTCCTAGACAGCGGCACATGGGGGTCTCGTAGTCATCGCAGCGCATAAGACCTCCTTCCTCCACTCCAGTCTGTTAGCCCACCCTGTCAGCCCTGTCCATGAACGTGTCCAGGATCCAACAGCTTCCCACCACCCTGGGCCAGCCCCCAGCGTCTAACCCCCTCTGTCTCCTCTGCCCTGGTCCCAGGCACCTGCTAACTGCCATAATCTGTCCTTATCTCGCATCCCCCTCCCAGTTCCGCTTACAGCCACCAGAGGGCGCCTGAACACCTGACTAAGCTCCTGTCCCCTCTCTGCCCACCACCCTCCAGGGCTCCCACTTCCCCAGGGTAAAAGCCTGACTTATCTGGAGGCCCACAGATCCTGCACTACCTGCCCTCCTCTCCCCACCTCTCCCCTCCCCTCCCTCCCGCATCACGCCCTGCAGCCGCACGGACCCTCCTCAGTAGATCATGTTTATTCATCTGCTCTGTTTATCATCTGTCTCCCCAGTGGGAACGTGAGGTGGGAAGAGGTCACAGGGCAGAGTCAGGGTACTCTGGATGTTTTGGCTGAGGTTGACGAGCTGAGGACCACCCCTTGCCCAGGGTCTCGCCAGGGGTGAGCAGCTGAGCCAGGGTTTGAACCCAGGCTGCCAGGCTCAGGACCCTACACTAGACCGCAGTGTTTCTGTTGGGGAAGAGGGGGCTGGTCCTAACTGTGCCCCCCTTTCCCCTCACCGCCCCCCCAGGCCTGAACGTGCACAGCATGCTCAAACACCAGACCCTGGTCCTGACCCTGCCCACCGTCGCCTTCCTGGAAGAGAAGCTGCTCTGGCATGACTCACGTTACACGCCCCTCTACCCCTTCCGCCTGCCCTACCGAGACTTCCCCTGAGTCCCAACCCCACGCCCCCCAGGACACACAGACCACCCTCCTTCCTGCTCTGAGCCAGCCCAAGCCCTGGGCAGGCTTGGAAGACGCCTCCCCATCCCAGGCCCCCTGGTCCCGGTGGGAGGCTGAGGCCACACACAGAGAGCAGCCAAGCAGGCGTCAATACTGGGAAGAGGGCAGCTCGCCAGAGACCCACATCTCTCGTGTAAGATAAGTTTTATTTTGTAATCAAAGACGGGAAGCACAGCAGCTGATTGCCGTTTTGTGAATAATTCCATTTGGTGCCTTCCCTGGTGCTGGGCATCCCTGGGTACCTAGCTGCCTCAAGACCCCATTTGTAGAAATGACCCAGGATCAACTTTACAGGGTGAGTCAGCCTCGGGGAGCGCACAGCGGAGAAGCAGCCACCTCTGAGAACCCACTGGTGCTGCCTCCCAATCTCAGGCACTCTGACCAAGTGCTCGTATCCTTGATGGGGCTTGTGGTCCCATTTATTACCATCTGTCCATCCAGCTGTGGGCCTGAGTTTCCAAATGGGTACAATGTGGAAACTGGGGGTTCCATCACAGGGATTTTCCCTAAACACGGAGTCAGGATCAACGTGGTCAGTAAATGTGCAAATAAACATTTTTTAAAAACACCAGGCTGACATACTGATTCTTGAGTCTGTCCCCCACCCCCAAGTTAATATCTCTTTAATAGTCACAACACAGACTACAGAATAATGTGGTCGGTTTCTTTAAAGTTGGCTGAAACTGCCATCTGACATGCAGGCCTACCCAGGCGGCCAAAGAGACCCATTGACTGGGCAGCTCGCCACTGAAAACATTTCTGGAATACCTCTCAGGAGTCCCTTGAGAGCTCACAACACAAATCTGTGAATGTCCTCAGTGAACAAAAATTGGGATCCTTAAAATTTCAGATTTGACTGAGGGACTTCCCTGGCTGTCCATTGGTTAAGACTCTGAGGTTCCAATACAGGGGGTGCAAGTTCAACCCCTGGTTGGGGAACTAAGATCCCACATATGTGCATGTATAGCTGAGTTTCAGGTGCCGTACACCTGAAACTAACACAGCATTGTAAATCAACTGTTTCAATTTTTAAAATATTTTAAAAAGATAAAGCTATTTGGAGCCAATAGTAGGAAGGGGTACAGAGGCTGGGTGGAAAATGTTGGGCTAAACCCAAACCATTACCAGCTTTTGCCTGTGCCTCTCACTAGCTCTGCAGGGACATCGAGGCCCCAAGAAAGACACATCAGTTGTCCTGACAGCACCCAGCCTTGTATGGTGTTGTCTTCCCATGTTTAATGGGGCTCAGTTGTCCACAACATGGCCATCAGGAAACAGTGAAGAAAGCAGTCAGAACCTGTTACCCCACACTGAAATCCCTTAGCCAGATCAAGGATGGAAAAAGTCATCAGAAAAAATAACTTGGGGTCTAGAATGTGCTTTCTAATAATCAGGGCATAAAATGTGTGTGTTTCCTGGGCTACCATAAAGCACGACAGACTAGGAGGGTCTTCCCAGCTGGGTCTGCGGTAAAGAACCCACCTGCCAGTGCAGGAGATGCAAGAGATGCAGGTTCGATCTCTGGGTCAGGAAATCCCACGGAGAAGGAAATGGCAAGCCACTCCAGTATTCCTGCCTGGGAAATCCCATGGACAGAGGAGCCTGGTGGGCTATAGACCATGGGGTCACAGAGAGTCAGACATGACCGAGCACACAAAAGCTAGGGCTTCAGCAATAGAACTGCTGTCTAACACTTCCGGAAGCCAGAGGTCCAAGAGCAGGGTGTTGGCAAGGTTGGAGGGCTCCCCTGGTGGTCCAGTGGCTAAGTCTCCATGCTCCCAATGCAGGAGGCCTAGGTTTGATCCCTGGTCAGGGCACTAGATCCCACATGCCACAATTAAAGATTTGGTGCAACAAAATAAACAAATGTTAAAAAGATGTTGGCATGATCGGGAATTCCTTTGTGGGCCAGTGGTTATGACTCAGTCCACTGCAGGGGGCATGGGTTCAATCCCTGGTCAGGGAACTAAGATCCCCAAACACCTTACAGAGCAGCGCCCCCCCCCTCCAAAAAAAAAGTGGGCAGGGGTGATTCCTTCGAGTCTATGAGGCAAGATCTATCCCATCCCTATCCCCTAGCTTCTGGAGGTTTGTTGGCATCCTTGGCATTTCTTGGCTTGATCCATCACCCTGATCTCTGTCCTCATCTTAAAATGGTGTTGTCTGTCTGTGTGTGTGTGTGTGTGTTCAGATTTCCCCTTTTTATAAGAGCACTGGTTAAGTTGAGTTAGGGCCCATCCTAATGACCTCAACTGAACTTGATCATCTGCAAAAACACTGTTTCTAAATAAGATCACAATCTGGGGTCAGCACTTTCCTCCCTCTCCCTGGGAAGAGAAGTAGTTGAACCCATGACAGGGAGTAAGGGGAAGGATGGAGAGAGACTGGCCATGAGGACTGTGGAAGTAGGCACACATGTCTTCCCCACATATCCTCTTTGCTGTTGCCTATTTTGAAATTCTCTGCAATTAAAATATTAAAAGAAAATAGAGATATGTGATGACATTTCTTCAGGGGAGCTGTTCTTAAATGAAAATGCCTATCACAGGGGGACTTCCCTGGTGGTCCAGTGTCTGGGACTCCATACTTACACTGCTGGAGACCAGATTCAACCCCTGGTCAGGGAACTAAGATCCCACATGCTGCGCAGCATGGCCAAAAAACAAACAAACCTTATCACACCCTCTTAGGACACGGGTTAACCCAGAGCCCAGAGAGGAAAGTGTCTTCACAACCTTTGAAAAATACCCTTGAAGGCAGAACGCCCAAGCTAAGGCTGATCAGGCTTAAGAAAACTCAAATGAACTGATAGGCTGGGAACTAACCCCCAGGAGACGCAGAGGGTGGGAAACAGGAGGCTCTGATGTGCAGTGAAGGTGTCTGCTTATTGATGGTCAGTATGGAAGCCCACTGGGCTTCCCTGACGGCTCAGATGGTAAAGAATCCGTCTGCAATGCAGGAGACCTGGGGTCCATCCCTGGGTCGGGAAGAGCCCCCGGAGAAGGGAATGGATACACACTCCAGTATTCTTGCCTGGAGAATACCATGGACAGAGGAGCCTGGCAGGCTTAAGTCCATGGTGTTGCAAAGAGTCGGACATGACTGAGTAACACACCCACACACGGAAGCCTAAAAGGAGACATGAGAGGATAGAGGACCCCAAGAGCTGAGAAAAGAGCCACAGCCCACACCAAAGATACCTCCATCTCCGATTTCCTTGGTGATCTAGTGGCTAAGACTCTGCTCTCTCAAGGTAGCGGGTGTGGGTTTGAAACCTGGTCAGGGAACTAGATCCCACATGCTGCAACCAACACCCGGCGACATGTGCATGCTGTTATGTCTGACTCTTTGTGACCCTATAGACTGTACCCCCACCAGGCCCCTCTGTCCATGGGATTCTTCAGGTAAACTGTACTGGAGTGGGTTGCTGTACCCTCCTCCAGGGGATCTTCCCAACCCAGGGATCAAAAGCCACATGTCTCCTGCATTGACAGGCAAGTTCTTTACTACTAGCGTCACCTGGGAAGACCCAGAGCAGGCAAATAATAGTAATAATACATTTAAGAAAAAAGATGCCTCCATCTCAGGACTTCCTGGTGATCCAGTGGTTAAGACTCCATGCTTCCACTGCAGGGGGTGCAGGTTCCATGGTTCAGGATGGGGCCACACACAAAAAAAAGAAAAGATGCCTCTATCTAGCAACAACATACCCAGGAAAGAAGAAACCTCAAAACGCTGCTCAGAACACAGGCACACTGCTGGGGAACCTAAGGAAGGGGAAGCCGCTAGCCCAGGAGAGGCTGTCCTGCGATGCCTCCTTACACCTCAGTAGGAGAGACCCAAAGGCTGGTGAGAGGGGGCAAGGGGGACAGACAGAGGGTCAACAGCTGGGGGACCAGGCCCTTCTGCTCTAGCAGGGCCTCCAGCTGGGAGAAGCCTGACCTGGGCTCCCATCCAATACCAAGCTCAGAGATTTGAACGCGAGGCTGATGTGGACCTGAGTCCTGGGCAGGATTCACAGCCAGTGGCAGGGCAGAGTCCACCACAGAATAAACTTTCAGTGAGCTATGGTTTCTCCAGTAGTCATGTATGGATGTGAGAGCTGGACTATAAAGAAAGCTGAGGGCCGAAGAATTGACACTTTTGAACTGTGGTGTTGGAGAAGACTCTGAGAGTCCCTTGGACTGCAAGGAGATGTAACCAGTCCATCCTAAAAGAAATCAGTCCTGAATATTCATTGGAAGGACTGATGCTGAAGCTGAAACTCCAATACTCTGGCCACCTGTGGGGAAAAACTGACTCATTTGAAAAGACCCTGATGCTGGGAAAGATTGAAGGCAGGAAGAGAAGGGGATGACAGAGGATGAGATGGTTGGATGGCATCACTGACTCAATGGACGTAAGTTTGAGTAAGCTCCGGGAGTTGGTGATGGACAAGAAAGCCTGGCGTGCTGCAGTCCATGGGGTCACAAAGAGTTGAACATGACTGAGTGACTGAACTGAACTGAGTGGATGGAGGAGCCGAGCTCTATTCCGATCAACATCCACATGTCATGAAATTTTGCTTTCCACCCTGGGGCTGTTATGAGGAACTGTGATGCGAGAGTGAACTCATCTTGGGGAAAAAGGAGGAAGTCTGTGGTACTGACCAGGAAGTTTGAGGTGGACTTCTCAGAGGTGGGTCATAAGGAAGCAGACAACTTGCAGCTATCTGTCCTCCCAGTGCACAAATGGTCTGCTGAATTTTATTTATCTATTTATTTACTTATTCATTCTTTTGGCTGCGCCGGGTCTTTGTTGGGGTGAGTGGGCTTCTCTTACTGTGGAGCATGGGCTCTAAAGTTCACAAGCTCAGTAGTTTCAAGGGCTTAGTTGCCCTGAGGCATGTGGGATGTTAGTTCCCTGAGCGAAGATTGAACCTGTGTCCCCTG